GTTAGAGGGAAATTTGATGGCTAGCTTGGCAGGGTAGCCCTTGGAAAACACAATTGGGCTGTGCTTTGCAGGAAATGGTGACAGCCTTTAGGTCACAGCAGAGATATGGGGCTGACAAATAAAGGTCTGGGGATAGACTTTTGACCTTTTAGTAGGGCTTCCTACCTGTCAGTGAAGGACTGCAGTTTTCCTTCTGGCAATAATCTTAAAGCAATAATGATGGCCCCTCTTCTGTAAGACTTTCCAGGGAATTGTAAATAAAATCTCAGCTTAATCCCTCCTCACTCACTGCGTCTTGACATTGCAGGGGGTGGGAGGTTAGGGTCTCAGTCTCAGATAGCTGACCCTCTAAACCCTTGCCATTAGAAAGTTCCAGTACTAGCTTTCTCTCCATTGTTCACGTGCCTCAGGGACCCAAGCATTGTGCTCCTAGGCACTGCTCTCATGAAGGACCCAGGCACCAGATTACCCAAGCCCCCGTTTTCTTCCTTCCTTCAGTTGCCATATTCCTTAGAACTCAGAGAGATCTGGCTTCGTAGTCCTTTTCCTCCCTCTGACACCACTGCCCTTATTTTCTTTTGAAAGTTGTCTTATACTTCTTAATTTCCCTCTTGTCCGACACCTACACATATACCAGGGAACTATCTTGGTGGTTTTCTTGTGTCTGAGTGGGAGGGGCTGTTCTGAAGTGGAGGCTTCGGGATTCGGTGAAGGAGAGGTAAAACAAAAGCCAGTCCATAGTTGAGATGATACAAAGGGAAAGGAGTTATCATTATAAGGAAAAAACAAAACAAGTGAAGGATTACATGTGAGGGTGGCAGAAAAGCAGAATCGAGTAGGATTATTTCAGATACCGCCCTTTAGTCTTCCCCAAAAGACTGATTTCCCTGGGACAGAAAGTGGGTGGAAAGTTACAACCTTTAAAGATCACAAGGCAAGAAAGGATGAGATCTGCCTTCCTTAAAATACAACCTCACCATCTCCCTGCTACCCATCCTTACCCTTGACCCTAAAGCTGAGAGAGCAGAGTAAAATCAATTTCCAAAAGAGAAACAGCAGTGTGCCATTTTTTGGATTAGTAACGAACCAGATCAACTAACGAATACTTACATCCCACTTCTACTCATTTTGGAAGACTGTGGAGGAAACAAAGCGGTAAAATGTATTACTAAACTATGACTGGTTCTTCTGTAACATACATGAATTTATAAATTCAAAATAGTCCTCTCTTAAATAATTATCTTGGAGAGGTATGCACTGACTTTAATAATGCCTCCCTCACTTCTCAAAACATTTTAAAAAACCTCCTTATAATTACCTTCAGAGTCAGTTTAGAAACCCCTTGTAAAAAACCTTTTATTGTCACACCTCATTTACCACATTTATCACTCTACCTCATTCATTAATTTAACAAGTATTTGTTTACCGAGTCCTACTATGGGATACAATGGTGAACAAAATCACACACAGAACATCCTTTGTAGTACTTGCAGATGGGCAAAACAAATAACCCCCAAACAAAAACTTTAGTTATCCAAAGTTCAGAGGAAATGCTGCCCTGAGAGCTGACAGATGAATAGGTGTACCAAGGTGAAAGCAAGAAGGTTATAGGGATAGCATACAAGAAAGCCTTGTGGCTGGAAAAAACATACAAGCCAAAGGTCTCCAAAGCCAGAGTGTGTAAAGAGGGAAGGGAAGCAGAATGTGACACATGGGTGGGTTCAACACAAGAGAGACTTCATAAGACATTTTAGAATATTATCTTTATCTTAAGAACAGCAGGAAACCCTCTACGTCAGTTATCTATTGATACACCACAAATCACCTCCAAAATTTAGAGGCTTGAAAGAACTTCTAAACACTTAATTTTGTTTTACATTTGTGTGGGGGGGGGCGACTTCTTCGAGATTCCCCTCGTTTGTCATGGATGAAAGTGAATATGGCCAAGACATGATAGATCTGCTTGGGGAGGAGAAGTGGTCAGTGGCCAGTTTCTCAGGGGGGAAAGGCCAGCTGCAGCCAGTTCCTCCAAGGAGAAAAAGGCCCCGAACCCCCTGCTCCATAACCTTTTATTGGGTTGTAATACACAGGAATACAGGGCGGCAACAATCAAACAGTAGATAACATTTCAAAGAGATCTGAGGGCTTCAGAGTCTGAGTCAGTGTCTGTCAGAAAGAGAGTTGCAGAAACTTTGGGAGACATACTCATTTCCTCTTGGACTCTTATCATATGAATGAAAGCACTCTTAGCAGAGCAGATTTCATAGGTTTATCAGCAAGTCTTTGTGATGCCAGATTTTTTTTCCCCAGGACATGTTCTAGCAAGGCAAGGAGCTGCACCTCTCCCCAACAGGTATTCAGGCTTAAGGGGATTAGAGCCAGGAAGTACTTCTCCCAGAGAACACTGGGACTCGGGCTATGTCAAAGCCAGGGGCGAGAGTCCATTGCTCTTTGTTGCAGCCCCCCTCCAAGTCCTTCCATGAAGGCCTCCCAAGTGATCAAGTATGGCTTAGGTTGCCCCCTGCTGTGAGGGGTCTTACCCGTCATTGACTTCCAACCAAGTTTTGGGGGCAGGGAGAGAAAACTGAGGCAGCATTTGCTACCAGAGACAAGCTTTATCTCCTGCGGCTGGCATTCCAAAGGTCATCCCTCACCCTTAGCCACAAGGGATCGAGATACAATTCCTAAAACCAGGCAGAGCGGTCTACAACATGTATGTATGATTCTGTGGGCTGGTTGGGGGTGGGGGGATCCTCTGTTATTTTCATCTAGGCTCACTCATGTGGCTGAATTCAACTGGCAGGTTGGCTGAGCAGGAAAATCCAAGATGGTCTCACCAGCATGTCTCATTGTTAAAACTGGCTATTGGATGGTCTCCTGGGTCTCCTGGGTCTCCCCGGGTCTCCTTCATGTGGCCTCATCCATCACTGGTTTGAATTGCCTTACGTGGTGGTCTCAGGGAAATATTGCAAAGGGACAAAGGCAGAAACTGCAAGGTCTCTGAAGGACTATGCTCCAGAATTCATCACTTCTGGCACATTCTATCAGTCAAGCAAGTCATGGAGGGATAGGGAAATGACCCCAATTCCTTCTCCTCAATGGGAGAAGCACATTAAAAGGTTTAAAACAGGAGTGCAAAGGGCGTGTGGTAGGACATGATTGAGTTCGAGATTTGGGAAGATCACTCCAAGCAGTGTGGAGAAAAGCTTGCATAAAGCCATAATGGCTGTGGACGAACTGGTTAAAAGGCTCCTATGAGGGTCTATGCAAGAGATGATGGCAGCTTGGACTAGGGTGGTATATGGAGGCAGAGAAAAGTAGGTGCCTTAAAGGGATATTCAGGAGGCAAAATGAACCGGGCTTGGTGATAAGTCAGTAAAGGAAGATGAAAATGAGGGAGGGGTCAAGGATAACACCAACATTTCTGGAGTTAGATAAAGAAAGAAGTAGAAAACACTGGAAGAGATGCTGATTTGGACAAAGAGATCATTGGTTTGGGTTCCTGGAGATAAATAAGAAAGGAAGTGACTGAATATCCAGGTCTGAAGTTTAGAGAGGCTTTAACTGTCAAACACTTTGGGAGCACTTATATAATCAAATCTACCTTAAAAGTTTAAGGTTTAATCAACAACTGGAGATATCAAAAGATGTGAGATCTCTGAACAGCATTACAAAGAGAAGTTCCAAAACAGTTTTGAATTATGACAGTGTCATTGGAATAAGTAGACAGTTTCCCCCAAGTGACCATGAAAACAATACAGCTCAGAAGTTCTGAAATGTTTACTTAAAAATAATGGTCTGCCTCCTCAGAAAAGATTATCCTCTAAGGTTTTAACAATCTAGATTAAAGCAAAACGAACTCTACACTGCCATGGGTGTAGAGAAGCCCATCTTATATTGACCAAGAGAGATGGGTGTTGAAAATATTGAGTAGAGAGAAGTTAAAGTGAACACAATATAGACTGGGGGCACAGGATAATAATTACAGCTAATATGTGGTATATCCCATGTGCCAGGCACTGTTCTAAGCACTTTACATATATAGGTTCATTCAATCCTATTATTATCCACATTTTATAGATGAGGGAACCAAGGCCCAGAGAAGTTAAGTAACTTGCTTAGTGTCACAACTCTTAAGTAGTAGTGGCTGGGATATGAACTCAAGCCAGTTGGTTCTAGATATCACACTCCACACCAGAACATGGATTGCAGGTCCACGAGAGGAAGGTCAAAAAGAGGCAGTTGGGGATGGGTGTGGCACCATGAGGGAATGTGGGCTGTGAGTACTATGTCCTGTTTACCTGTCTGGAGGTCAGATCCCTGAGTCAGAACTCATGCTGGGCTGCTTTGCTGGACCCATCATGGTATGTGGGTGTCCAGGCCTGGCTACTCTGGAAGGAATGGATTCCCAGCATTCCTAAGGCCATGGTCCTGAAATCTAAGGCCCTCCTTACTCCAAAGGTCATCTGGGAATTGAGCTTGAGAAGAAAAAAATTGGAAGAAAAGCCTTGCTAAAACACAGGAGAGTCATGGATACTAAGGCCAGAATGAGAGCTACTGCCAGGCAGCATCTGTTAAAACATCCAAGAGCCCACTGAAGATTGGTCAGAATGGGCGCTGTCACTGGCTGAGGAAGTGTGTTTGGGTAGGATTGTAAAAATGTGATCAACTGAACGAACAGGCCCAAGGGGGCTGTAGAGACCTTTCCCGGAGGCTGAGGTGGGACACGGGAAGGGGACAGGGGAGGTTGCACAGTAGAATTAGAGAGCACAGCCTTCGTGTTAGAAGATAAAGGTGTGGAGGAAGTAGGTTGTGGACCTTTTATTGCCCCAGTCCTGGCACCACTTGGGCCTCCTACCCCACTCCCCGACGAGCTCCAGCAGCATTGACATTCCCAGCCTCTGGCCTCCACCGCCCCCACGCGTGCCACCGCAGGGAGCGGCCAGACCACTGCGTGACGCCTCGAGGGGCGGGGTCTCATTATTAAAAGGGGACAGAGGCCGCGGCGCGGGGCCCCAAGACCTGACCCGGGTCACAGGGAGGGCCAGCTCATTCTGCCCACAACGTCAGCCACATTAGCAACATCTTCGAGTCCACGGGCACCATGCAGCTCCTGGTGAAGGTGCCGTCTCTTCCGGAGCTGGGAGAGATGGACTGCAACATATGCTACCGGCCCTTCAACCTCCGGGGCCGCGCTCCCCGCCGCCTGCCTGGAACGGCACGCGCCCGCTGCGGTCACACACTCTGCACCGCCTGCTTGCAGGAGCTGGTGGCGCGCGGTGACCGCAGCGGAGCGGCAGCGCGCGTGGTGCGCTTGCGTCGCGTCGTCACGTGCCCCTTCTGCCGTGCGCCCACCCCGCTCCCGCGTGGCGGGGTCACGGAGGTCGCTGTCGACCCAGATTTGTGGTCGAGGTTGGAGGGAAAAGCGCGTGCGGATCGTGAACCTGATGAAGCAGGTAGCCTGGTAAGGGAAGGTGGCGAAGCCTACAGAGGAGAGGCCGATGATGAGGAAGAGGAGAGCAAGAAGGGGTCTAGGTCCAGGAGCATGGGGTGGCTCACGGTCCGACGGCTCTGGGACAGGTTGCTGGCTCCAGCACGCCGCTGGCGGCGCCCGCTGCCTAGCAACGGTGAGTGGCCCGTCTGGAAGCTTCAGGGGAGAGTGCCCTGGAACTCCAGGGTTAGGCTGTATCCTCTTGATGCCACTAACTCTTCTTCTTTCCCCCAGTGCTGTACTGTCCGGAGATCAAAGACTTTGCCCACATGACCCGCTGCACACAGTAACTCCGGGACCCGGAAGCTAAGGCAGAAGGAAAGTGGGAGCTGCATTCTCAGGGCCTACAAGTGGCTGATGCCAAGGCTACCCCCTCTCCCACCCAGGACTGGCACTGATGAGGAAGTGGAGCCGAGGGCAGGAGGAAACGCCCCGGTAGGTGTCGATGCTGAACTGGGGAGGCTCCTAGACGAATTGCCCCCATCTGCTGACTGTGCCAGCCTTACATATTCAGGATGGAGTGGCCCAGGGATGATAAAACAGTCTGCATTCCCGTGGGAAGAATACAGATTGTTTCCTTAGCTGTGAAGCCTTGGCTTTTGTCCAGGGCAGCTCTCATGTGGGAGCAACAAGCCCCATTTTAGCAATTTCTGTGTCAACGGTTTGAAAATTTCAGAAAGATGGAGCAGGAGGAAAAGGCTGATTTTCAGGTCATGTTAATCTCACTTCTCTACAGCATAAGACAACTGAAAAAAAAAATGAGCCCTTTGGTTCCCCACCCCTCTCTCCACCTTGGTGCTGGTATGCCTACTGTCTCCTCACTCCCAGTAGTGTCCCTAAAATTATCAAGATGCCACTGCCTTGCTTCATTCCTCAATCTCCCTTCAACCTGTTAGGGCAGGTATCAGAAGATCCAAAGAACATTAATCTGAGGCACCTAATTAGGGCCTATCAAGGACGGAAGGGAGACACTTGGTAAAACCATCCGATTTAAAACTTTTGATATTATCTGTATTTTTATCGTCAGAGGGAAACACAAACACTACTGAAAAAAGATGCCCATTCAATTTTGTATCTAATAGTTGCACTTATATTGTATGCCATGGATTCTATTTTTAAAATCCCATCAGTATCTTATAGTACAGTCAGTGTGAGCTTGTTGGAAGTACAAAATCTCAGCATTCCACTTCAGACTTACTGAATCAGAACCTGCATTTGAACAAGAATCCCAGGTGATGTGTGCACCTTAAATATTTAAGCATTGGTCCACATCCTAGGTACTCAAGGATATTACCATCTAGGGTTGAATATTTAAAACACAAATGGTATTTAATGTTATTTACTATTTTAATTGGTTTTTAAGTGACATATTCTGTTGAAGAAATCTTAAATTCTTCATGCATAGTTGCATTTTCCTCTGAATTAAAAATGTGAACTTAAGAATAAGCCTTAATTTTTGTAACCATATTTTGGCTTTTTCCTTGTCCTTAAGTCTCAGCTTAAATGTTCCCTCTGATGGGAGGTCTTTCTCAGCATTCACTTTGGTGTTGCCCCTTCACTCACCCTCTATAGCATGCCTTGTTTTATATTCACTCCCTTTATGTGTATTTTGTTGGTGCCCCCATCCCCCAAGCTAGAGTGTAAGCTTCATGAGAACAATGACTGATTTGTGACTATTGTATCTCCAGGCTAAAAAGTGTTCATGTAGTGTATTCAATAAATGTTGTTGGATTTATCTTCAATTCTCTTAACACTCAAAAAATTGCTCTCTCTTAGCCTCTGAGCAGCCCTGGCAGTGAACAACATACGTCAAGGAAGTGTCTTAACACTTCAAGTATTTAGCAAGCTATGGAGGTCTGACCCTACCCCCACCCACACAGCTCCTTTACAAAAAAAAAAAAAAGTACTTCTACACACTTGGAACTAAACCTGTGGAGCTTTGGTGACCTCTACTGACTCTTGTGGGAACTAAACTAAGCAACTTGAAGGTAGAAAGGATGATAGAAGGATGAATAGAAGGCAGTACTGCATCTCCAGGCACCCCTCCCGCATTTTGTCAGATGAACCCTGCTCTCTCTAATCTCAACCTGAGGCTTGTGTAGGTGTCCAGCTGCTCACCCTCCATCTCTTAACTGGGCTCATCACATTAGGGTTGGGGTTGGAAAAAGAGCCTCGGAGTTTTAGTTGATAATCTAAGAAATAAAAATGAGAAAAAGGTAGTCACAGGGTTTTTTTTAGAGAGAAAAAGATAATCTGAAATGACAGACAGCAATACCATTTCCTTATCCCTCCCCCCAATCAAAGAACACCCCCACTCAAAAATAACAAAGCACACAGAAAGGAAAGTATAATTTATATGTACAACCAATAAACCTGATACAGAAGAGGGGATTGGGACAGACCAGGAGTGTGAAGAGACTGGGAAAGGGGCAGCAAGAAAATGAAGGGGCAGCAAAGAGGAAGTGGGGGGTTCGCCATGCAAACTGCCACTCTCCTCAGCCCCTCCTGGAGAAGGTATGCCCATGTCTCCCTAACCTGCCCTTATTATTTTGCTCTGGTCCTAAAAGCAAAGTAGTCCCCTGATTAGGCCCCCTGCCTAACCCACTCAAATTTAGTCCATATTCAGGCCTTCAGTAGGGATGGAAGTCCTCAAAAAACTTAAGCCCCAGAGCTGGTGGTTCCCCTAATACCTGGCCCATTGTGTTTTCTCCTACCCTTTCTAGATTACCTGGGTCCCTAGGGCAGATTGGGAAACTCCTCTTTGGCTTGAGGGAGTATCACCCAACCATTACTCTCTTTGTAGGGGTAGTTCTTGGCCCCTGTGGAGGGGGTAAGATGCCCGACACAAGATGCCAGTACACAGGAGGTAACAGCCAGTGAATGGCGCCTTTATTCTGAGGCTGAACAGCAATTGACTCCCTTGTAACTGCTCCACACTATTTGAGGAGAGGTAGGGAAAGGAAACATGCAGCCACCCTCCTCTTCCCTTCTCCCTCCCTGGGCTCATTGTCATCCCTATCTAATGTCCGCCTCCTCTCTTCAAAGCTCCTTTCCCCTACCAAAGTTTCTAAAGGCCAGGCGATGCTAATCCCCCATTTCTGCACAAGATGGAGCTTATATTATATTGCAGGAATAAAGATTGGGGAGGATCCACCTCTTTCCTCCCCACAACCATTTATTGAGAAGCTGTGTATGTTTGGCAGTGGAGGATAAAGGTACTTGGAAGACCCTGCTAACCCAGACCTCTTCTCACCAGCAGTCTTCAAAGCATGGTGGGAAAGGTGTGCAGGAGTGCAGAAAGACAAAGGGTTCTTCTTGAAGAGAGGAGTCACAGAGAGGGGCAAAGGGGCTCCTAGCCCAGTGGTGGCCCAAGGGATGGGGAAGGTGGAAGATTGGCAGCAGGCCCCAGAGCCTGAGCTGGGGGTCGACCTCGGGCTCGGGGCCTGGGTGATGGGCAGGCCTGGGATCCAGTCAGTCGTCTATACAGATCACCTCCCCGGCTCGGGGCTCCTTCCGATCCAGCCCGTCTGACACCAACGCCCCCACCATTTCCTTCTCCTTCTTCACCAGCACTGGAGGGCCGTTGGTGGCGGCTGTTTGGGCAAGGGATAAGGAAGTGTCAATCCCTCTTTCACTCCCAAACATCACTTTCTGACAACAGTATACTCTCATTTCCAAGTCACCTCATGCCACTTGCAACTGTCCAGGGTAGTGGTAGAAAGACCAGGGCAACCCCTCTCCCTGACAGTCCCCTTTGTGTCGCATGATGGACACCTGTTCCAACTTTCACTATACCCCCTTTTCATTCATATTCTCTTTCCCCGAAGTAACACAGATGGAGGACGCTCAGGTAAGAGCTACCAAAGCTCTAGAACCACTGAAACCCTGGATGAGGTTTGTGACAAAGGAAATGGAAGAGAAGCTAAGAAAGTGTGGGGGGAAGAAAGCCCAGAACAATTTCTTTCCATAAAACACAGGGTACTTCCACCACAATGAGATGGGCTGGAGCAGCAAAAGGGTAGCTGAGCAGGGATAAACTCAGAAAAGGAGAAATGAGAGGAAGTTGGCTGACCTGTGATGAAGGACCCTGCAGGCATCTGGCTGTAATTGGCGCCTGCGGCGGCCAGGGCCCCTACGGGAGCGGGAGCGGGACTGAAGGCTGCCCCGTACCCCGGAGGTGTAGCATAGGGACCTGGAGGAAACACCTGGAATAGAGAGCAAGACCAGGTTAGAAGGTCCACAGTCCAAAAGGAAAGAAGCTGCAGGGAAAACGCTATGGGCCAAACTCCAGAACTACTGCAGGGCATAGCATACAGGCATGGAGACTCAAGGGTGAGGAATACGCTAGAGTGTATCGTTTTTCCATACTGTATAGGATTCAATGTACGTGTATGTACGTGTGTAGGAGTACCAACAGGGGAACGCAGTTAGAGGGAAAGGGGGTTACCGGTGTGGGGTGAGGCTCCGTGCCCTTGCTGGCCAGCCGGCTGAGGATGCTGCGCTCTGACATCTGAAGGCGGGCTGCGATGGGGGGTATTCGAGACAGCGTGGCTGGCAGGCGGGTCACGTCTGCCTTCATGTCGCTCAGCAATTCCTCCAGCTGGTTCAGAACTGGGGCCCGGGCCACAGAGAAAGAAGGGCAAGAGAAAGACAGGCAAAGGAAGAGATGGAGCCAGGAAGAGATGAGGAGTCAGATGAACAGATAAAGTCAGAAAAATAGAGCAAGAGGATACGGGTGTCAAAGAACCAGAGAAGAAAATTATAGAAGTAGGCAGAAAAAGAGAGTGACTCGGTAGAAGGGGATGTCAGGTAAAGAGGCAGTGAGACCAGATCACCACATAGACAGATGAGAGAAGAAAGGAGGAAAGGGATTATGGAAAAAAGGGAGACAGGGGAGGACATTGGAAGACATGGGGGCGGGGAGTTGTCAGAACATCCCGTACTGGAAGAGTGAGGTTTTGGGGTTGGGGATGATGGGAAGGAAATAGTCAGGAGGCATGGGGAAGTGTTAAGTGGTGTCAAAGATTTAGGGATCAAGGTTTTAATATGTAATGGGGGAGGGGAGGTTACAGGGTCAGCATTACAGATTCAAGGAATTAGAACAGGAATCAAAGGTTCCAGGAATCAGTCACTATATCAGATAGGATTAGATGGTTAAAGGGCTTTGGAATTTAGTATTTTATTTTCAAGGTAAGAGGGTTTGGGAGGAAGGGTTGAAGGTCAGAGGGAAGTTTCATGGAGTAGGGTCAGAAGGTGGGATGGTGGTATTTTCTGTCTTGTGGGGTAAATGAGATGTAAGGAATGTGATTTGTGGGATTGCAGATAAGGATTTTTGTGGGCTCTACACAGGCTAAGACCCCAGGGAGGGTGCTATTAGCTGTATGGCAGGCATGTGGGTCAGCAAAGAAGTTCTGCCCTTTAGAGGGGATGTGCAGTCTCATGGGGTTCTGGGGAGAAAGTCCCTCTTTTAAGCACCGATGTGAATGCTACTGGGCATGGATGAGGGCTGGCTACATAAACTCTAGAGACTAAAAACCAAGGGGATGTCAGGTGGGTCAGGGGTGGGGTTAGGGGTCAGAGGGGGGTGGTTCAGAGGGAAAGGGATCAGAGGGGTGGGAAGATTTTGAGGGATGCGGGGTGAAGACTTACGCAGCGTTGTGGGCCCTCCCCCGCGCGGGGCCGCCGCGGCCCTTACCCTTGTGCAGTACGGCGTTGGCCGGCTTGTTCCCCGCCAGCGACTCCTTGGAGAGGTGCTGGTGGCTCTCAGCCAGGCACTCGGCCTCGGCGAAGCGGGCGTGGAGGGCCATGGCGGGGTGCGCCGGCTCCTGCGATAGATTCAGGTAGGCCGCCCGCCGAAGCTGTTCCTCAATCACCAGCGCCTGCTCCAGGAGCTAAGGGCATGGAGAGAAGGGATTAGTGCAGGGATTTGCCAGCAGTGAGTGGGTAGATGGTGGGCCACAGGCAACCCTGGAGACCACACTGCCCTTTCTGCTGGCCCAGGGAATCCCCAGCTCCACACCAATACCTCCCCTAGCATCGGCCCAGATCCAGACCACATTCCCAAACATAAGGTTACACTCTGCTCTTGGCCTCTGGCATCACCACCATCCTCAAAGTGTTAAACCCTACAGTCCAACCAGTGGGCCCACCTCTGACCCAACCCCTGTTCAATATTGTTACCTTCTTCCCTCATCCCCACCTTGAATCTCCGGGCCAGAAACTTATTTTTCATCTCCAGAAAGTTTCCCTTATTGGCTTCAGTTTTAAATGGCTCATTGATAATGGCAAACTGAGCATCATTCTGGATGTCCTGCCACCGTGCGTAACCATGGCTGCCAATGAAGGAAGGGGACTATCAAGGAATTTAACAGGGCTGGGCTGGGCTATGGACACTTCTTCCTTTTGGCTTGATCTCACCTAGGTGTGGCACTATGCCCACTTCCCCGGGTGTGGACACCTCTTCTCTGTAATTCCTTTTCCAGGTTGAGAGAACTCCCCCCCCTTATTGTATTTCTATCGAAGGATACAGGACAATCCCAGCCAGAAGCCAATAGTCATGTCTTCGGTGCCAGATCTCATTGAGTTTCCCTGAGGAAATGGCTGCCCGTTCCTCATTCTGCCATAGTGTGTGAAGCTCTGAAAGGAGAATGGAAGACAGATGAGGCATCAGGAGTTTTCAAATCACATCCAGTCCAATAAACAGGTATAGAGGAGGGAACTGAATAGTGGTAGAGAACACTAAGGGGCTCTTTCTGAGGAACAAGTCAAGGTTAGGGTAGGGCTACAAATAAAAGTAGTTACA